TCCCAAGACTCACTTTCCATGTTGTATTCATTTTACCTTCTTATTTTCCTCTCTCTCCAGGATTTCTAAAGTGGAGAGATGTTCACTGTGATGTTTAATTACCCTATGTTTGTAATTCAAGGGTTAAATGTGTGGAAACTCATCAGGTGGCTTTCTTAAGGAGCTTGCTATTGACTATTTACCAAGTTTGAAGTCTCACCCAAGCAGTTCATGTACTTCCCACATTGCCAATCTTGACACCCCATTCAGTCTTTCCAGCCACTTTCCTTCCCTCCAACCTTCCTCTATCCTCTATCTCTATTGTTGTGACCTGAGGAAAGAGAACATTAATAAAAACTTTGTTTTTGGTTTACAACATTTATATTCTTGTTTTTATATTGTGGCTTGTTGGACCAGGACTGAGTGGCTGGGAAAGGAACTCTAGTACTTGTTTCTTCCACATTCTACCCACATTTAAATGTAAATACATAATAATTAAATACCCTGTGGTGAAAGGATAGCTCTACTTATGAAAGATGGCACTAGTTATAGGTGTAGAAATTGCTCTTCTAAAAGCTGTGGGATAGTGATATCCTATGTCAATCAATAAACCAGTTAGTGTGGTGGTCCAGGTCTACAATCCCAGCTTTATGGGAAGCCATTGGTAGGAGGATCATGGTACAAGTATGTTCCAGGAAAACTGAAACCTTATTTGAATTATAACGAAACAATAAAGAGCTAGGGGTATTCATTGCTAGGTATAACATTGCCCTACTATGCACAAGCTTCGGAGTTCAAACCTAGTTCTACTGAAGGATCAACACAGAAAAACAAAACAGTAAAAATGCTTTAGTTAATGTCAGCAGAAAGATTCTTGAACATTGCTTCTTCCTTTATCAAAGAAAAAAGTCTGAAGATGAATTTAAATCATTAACAGTTTGGGGTCTAACCCAAGGTTGAAGTAGTATGGCAGAACCTTTTGATGAATTTTACAAAGGCAGTAAGTTTAGAACCCTTTCATTGCTGTTCACTTGGTATAGAAATATCTAGAACCAGATACTCTGAAGAATATCTCAAAGATAACTCTGAGAATGTCTGAACGCTAGGTTTGGAGGAGTATTCATAGTGACAGACTCCTGAAGATCAATGTCCTAGTAAAGACCCAGCAATTTCATAGAGTGTGTATCCAGGGACCCACTAAGTTCTGATAATAAAGGGCCAAGGATCATCTCCTCATGGCTCTAAGGTGGAGGAAAGCAATCAGTTGGTACCAGCCTAGAATATTCTATTTTATGAAGGGTTAGTTCTAGTAAAATATATCTATCTATCATATCTTTGGTAAAATATCTGACTATAACCTCCTCCACCTTTCTAGTCTTGTCTATATCCTGTGAGATCACCATTTCAAGTCACACTCCTAAGACACAAACTATAGAAATCTGAGACTTAGTCATGAGATTGTATAAAAATTCATATAATGATATACACACTACACCACAACATATATCTGCTGTAATGGTAAGTGAAATACTGAAAGAATGGTGAAACATGGACTCTATTTCATGAGGAGATTTTAGGAAATTCTAAAGGCAACAGAGATAGCAAAAGTGAATTTCTTCAGTAAGTAAAATGAACATGTACCTACTGAGAAAACACCCTTTTCTTTTCACACTATACCATATAATCAGTGATTCAATAGAAAATATAAAACTTATTTTATGAAAAAGAAGGAGTTTAAGAGTTGGGTGCTGAAGGCTCATTACTATACACCTAACCATGCAGGATAAGATCTATAGGATTATGGTTCAAAGCTAGCCCACTCTGAAAAGTAAGAAAGATTCTATTTCCAATTAACCAGCAAGAAGCTAGTCTGGAGGCATGGGTCAAGTTTTACAGCACAAGCCCGGACAAGGCCTGAATCAACAATCCAGGATAGAGTATTAGACAAAGTTCAAGCTTCAGTACTGTGTGAACACACACACACACACACACACACACACACACACACACACACACACACTAAGGTTGGTGAAAGTAAATAACAAAATTCATCTTATATATGGCGCATGTTGTAAAGCAATAGATAATGGTGAGGAATTAAAGTAAGTACACTTATGTTAGTAAGGGATCTAAAGCAAAAAAAAACACAAAGAACAAAAACATAGAAAATAGGAATAAGAAACATAATGATGACAGAGAAACATAACTTTAAGATAGAATAAAAGGTGCTACAAATTAGCACAATACAAAAAAAGAGAGGGGGTATCTTTTATTGCTCATAATGATACTCTACTAAGTAAAGAACATTGGAGTTTAAAGATTTGGTGACTTCTCATATACAAATGCAAACAGAGAACTGATTAGAAATGCAGAACAGAATATTAAATTTTTGAATGGTAGCTATAATGGTAAAACTTATGTAAAACAAGATTATTAGAAAGAGGAAAATAAAAGCTTTAAGAAACAGTGGAGTGGGGCTGGGAAGGTGGCTCAGTGGTAGAGCGCTTGCCTTCCATGCCTGAGACCCTGGGTTCGATTCCTCAGCACCACATAAAAAAAAAGAAAAAAGCCGGAAGTGGAGCTGTGGCTCAAGTGGTAGAACGCCAACCTTGAACTCAAGAGCTGAGGGACAGCGCCCAGGCCCAGAGTTCAGGCCCCATGACCGGACCCCCAAAAAAGAAAAAGAAACAGTGAATATTTACTTTCTAAAATAAATAGGCATGCCATACACTCCACCTAGGTCCAGGAATCTCATTGAGAACTAACTGGATAAAAACCACAAAGAAATAAAGAAAAAAAATTAAATTTAAGCTGTACAACACCAAGGACAAAGATAATCTTGTAGAAGCCAGAACATTAGAAGGTAGCTTACTTACCCCTGTAGACTAAGCATAATAATTAGACTTCTCTTCCATTAACATGAAGGAAAATCAACTGTGGGGTGTGTTGAAAGCAAAGCAAAAATGACCAAATTAGAATTTTGTAGACCATAGTATCATTTAGAGCTAAACAAAAGGAGAAGACTGGGTGAGGGGGGATAAGTCTATAATCAGAGGTAATTGGGACTAGGAGCAGGATGTTGTTCTGGTCAAGGAGAGCCACTGAAATAATAGAGAGATCCTTAAAATACAAAACAAAAACAAAAGGGTAACGGTTCACTAGTATGGAAGAACAGGTGCTGAGTGTATGTTTGCTTCAGGTCCTAGATTCTAGGATCTCAAAGGAGTGTGGGGTTAGAGGAGGAAATAAAGACTTTACCCAGTAAACAACATCTGAAAGAATCCATCTGCATTAGACCTGCTCCACATAGATAGGTCAGTAAATTTATTCAGGGTTTCTTGGTTAAGGGAAAGGAAAGAGGTCCAATAATACACATGTGTTGATGAACTGTATTAAAAGGTATGAAAAAGGAACAAGGAGATATGTATTCAATTTTTAGAACAAGTAAAAAGATAGCTATTACTTAACAGAAATCAAATAATAGTCTTGGGGGCATTTTGCACAAGAATAATCAAAATGTGTGACAATAATGTTATGTAATATTGAGAAAGAAACTTCTATATAATTATTTCAGAGTTGTATTTTGCCTATAGGCATAATTAAATTATGATTGGACCATGATACACATATTGAGTTTGATAGATGTACTATTTATGTAGTAAGACATATTGCTTTATTTTCTTCTTTTCTTTGGTGTGAAAAGACTAATTTTCCCAACTTCTGGATTTTGCTGTTTTTGCCTGTGTGTTCCAACATCAAAGCTGTCTCATCTAATTTATTTCCATGAAGCAAATGTTAAACACTATTCATGCATTCTAAAACTATGCACACCTCAGGGTGCTCTTCCATTTTTCAAAATTACTGAAGACACCAAATTCCTTTCCCAATGAATTATTTGTATTTATATGACTATACATAAAACAGAAATTTAAATCTCATTTATTAACTCCTGGCATTGAACATTTTTAAGAAATGTCAATAAATTACACCTTTGTGAATAACTGGAATTTGTTCATTAACCCATTTTCATTTCACATGCAAATAGTGAATTGCAACTTATCGTTAGAACTGATATTTTTGTTTTGTTTTGCTTTATAACTAAACACAACCAAATGACTTCAAAACTGATCAGATAGTGAGGAAATCCCTCTGACACAGCACCATGGTAAACTCGATCTGCTTGTTCAGTTCTCCATCAGCGAGGTGTTTGGAAGGCAGCTCTGTTTGCCTGTGTTTGCTGAGAATCCTGGTTGAAATTTTGATGCACAAGCAGAATTTACAACTTACTATAAAGAGGAAGCAGCAAACAGAATAGTTACTCCTTCTTGTTGTATCAATACGGCTATTCTATCAGGTAGTAAATATATCCTCTTTTTTTGTCTGTCGTGGTGCCTGAATTCTGGGCCTGGGTGCAGTCCCTCATCTCTTGCTCAAGGCTAGCGCTCTTCCACTTGAGCAACAGAGCCACTTCCAGCTTTTTCTGCTTATGTGGTGCTAAGGAATTGAATCTAGGGCCTCATGCACTCAATGCAAGCACTCTACCACTGAGCCATTTTCCCAGCCCCAGGTAGTAAATATATTTAAAGCCTAACATACTGGTATTTCACTACTGAACTTACTTAAATATTATAACTAGGTATAAAGTAAGATATGTGAAAGCCTATAGATGTACGTTCTGTTGGGTTGAATCAAAATCCACTGCTGATACATATTATAATTTACTATCCACACTTTTCATATTTTCAAAACCTTGAATCAACATCATTAATTGCATATATGTCATCACAGTGTTATGTTTCCAGAACAAGAAATCTGACACAGGATGAGGAAAGTTTAAACTTTACCTGCACCTGGGAACAGAGCAGGTCTGCTAATGGGAAAAGACAACATCTGTGGTTATTTCCAGGCTTTACCAGAAAACAGCTCCACTTGATGGGAATCTCCTGGAGTCCATGATAAGCAGTACACATGACTCTAGACATGCATATGCATTCCTGCAATTCATTTCAATGTTCTTCCCTCAGGTTCTCTTATAAAAGCCCCATTCTTTCCTCCTTGAAAACCATCCCAGATTCTTGCAACACAGGTAAGTAGAGGTGCATCAGGATGAGATTGTTAGACAGGGCATTTTCTCTATACATTTGAAGAAGATCACAAAGTGCAGGAATTCATAGAACTGATAATGTTGCCTATAGGAGCTATTAGAGGTTGTACGTTCCACCATTTATACAATAATTACAAAATTAGATAGATGTGATCAAGGTCAATGCTTCCTTTCAGGACTACATCAGAGAAAAAGAGCTGAGACAGAAGGAACTTTGTGTGTTCTCTCTAAGGCCTCCTGTCCTTGAGTGACTCTAGATTGCCTCTTCAATCACCTACAGGACACAGACTCTCATGGCGTTTTCTAGTATGTACTGGATGCTGCTGTGCCTGATGCTACTATCCCCGGTGCAAGGTAAAATTTCTCTGACTAGCCCTGTATTCTCTGTGAACATTCACAATAACAATGAGGAATGACCAGAGTGTCCCATTTAGTAATGTTGAATAAAATCTACTGCAAACAACAAAATTGCTTGAAACTCCATTCTGCCTTGTATCATGTCCCTAATGGTGGACCTATTACAATTGTCTATCATCAATTGAATGAAAAGAACTTCCAATTTTTCAGAATGCTCTAACTAGTTGAGAGTTAAAGAAATAGAAGACAAGCTTCATAAGAATTCTCTGAGCTGACCTCACCACACATCTCCATTCTTCATTTTACTTCATTTTTTTTATCTCCATCCCCACTAGGTGAGGACCCACGGAAGGACCTGCCTTCTCCAAGAATCAGTTGTCCCAATGGTGCCCAGGCCTATTCCTCCCACTGCTATGCCTTGTTTAAGACACCGAAATCCTGGACAAAGGCAGATGTGAGTTCAGAGAGGTGGGGTTAGGGATAGGGACAAATAAGGATATTGGGGAGAATACAAGATCTCAAACTTCAAACTTCAGCTGTTCCTTGGGACTTACATAAATACTTTTTTTATTGTGAAAATACCATACAGAGGGTTTACAATTACATGGGCAAGATAATGAGTACATTTCTTATCAAGCGTTGTTGCTTCCTCCTTTGTTTCCCCTTCCCATCCCTTCTTATCTCCCTCCCACACCCCCTCTCCCACCCCAGCCAAAGTTATAAAGTTTGTTTTTTGACATAATGATTTGTACATCTCATTGTTGCTATGGGTCCAGCTGTATCCCTATTTAAACAAATTGGTTTTTCCTTTCCCCTCCACAAATTATACCAACATCAAATACAGTGAGAACAGAGCTTATATCCTGGGGGAGGGACATACAAAGCAACAGAAATCATCTTATAAATATGTTAGAAACAATCACATGAAAGCAAAAACATTTGAATACTTATCTTGGGGTTCCTTTCACTTAACATCAACTTATTTGACCTTTTCTGCTTGACTCAGACATATACTAGTTACTGAAAATAAGGGAAACCATGGGACCTATGTTTCTTTGGGCCTGGCTTACTTCACTTAATATAATTTTTTCCAAGTCTTTCCATTTCCTAACAAATGAGGCAATGTCATTCTTTCTGATGGAGGCATAGAATTCCATTGTGTATATACACCACATTTTCTTGATCCATTCATCTACTGAGGGGCATCTGGGTTGGTTCCATATCTTAGCTATGGTAAATAATGCTGCAATAAACATAGTTGTGCTGGAAGCTTTAGCTTTATATCTGGGTTAATATTTGTGTCATGAAGAGACAGCTACATCTAATCTGACCTTCTTCAAGTTACCTTTCATTCTGTCCCTCATTTAACAGTTGGCTTGTCAGAAGCGGCCTTCTGGCCACCTTGTGTCCGTGCTCACTGAAGCTGAGGCATCCTTCGTGTCATCTCTGGTGAAGAGTACTGTGAACAACTACCAATACATATGGATTGGACTCCATGACCCTACACTGGTGAGGTCCCATTGTCTTATCTCTATTACCTCTCCAGTAGTTAATGTGCTCCAGGCACACTCTTCTGGAGGGACATGAGATCAGAGACTTAGAATAATATTTTGGGTAAAGAGAAGTCCTGAAGAACAAGTGAAAAGATGAATCCATTGTCCCAGTTAATATATCCTGCATGCAGATTCTAAAGTCCATTAACTTTCCTTGCTGGCACCTTCTCTATATAGGGTCAATCACCCAATGGAGATGGATGGGAGTGGAGTAATTCTGATGTGTTAAACTTCTTCAACTGGGATAGGAATCCTTCCACTGCCCCAGACCGTGGTTACTGTGGGAGCTTATCAAGTAACTCAGGTAAGAAACCTAGGAACCATCACTGACCAGCCATCTCTCCTTCTCCTATATCCTGGGGCCTGCACTTATAAGCTAAGATGTATTTAATCTCTCTCATCTTTTCTTATATCTGTTTTCTTTGAATATCCTTCCTTACAGAGGGAGTCACTAGTCAATGTGAGGATACTAATCTCTACCTTCTTATTGTATTTACAATACATCTTCTCTTTCTCCAGGATTTCTGAAATGGAGAGATGTTCAGTGTGATGTGCAATTGCCCTATGTCTGCAAGTTCAAAGGATAGGCAGGTGGGACCTCAGAAGCCAAGTTTCTTAAGAATATTGACTTGGACCAAATGCAAATCTCAACTGGAATAACATTTCTTCCCCATATCCCACACTGATTTTCCAACCTCTTCCCTCCTCTCCAGCCTTCTTTCAATCCTTTGCCTGTGTTATTATTGGTCAGATGATGGTCAGACAGATGCAATAAAAACTTTGTCATTATTTTTCAACACTTGTGCGCACATTTTTATAATGTGGCTTACTTGAGTGTAGCTGAGTGACTAGGGAAGGAGCTCTGGAATTTCCCTCTTCAAATTCATCTACATCTTAGGAAAATATATGATGATTCATGATGCATTCCATCCAGTGCTCTGTGAGGAGAGGGTATTCCTGCTTGCATAGTATGGTGCAGTAGACAGAGTAGACATTGCCTTTCCCATGCTCAGTGCCTACGTTTATCCTCGTTGTTTGATGCACCTAATGTCATTAAGAATTACACCAATCACTTTGGAAATACTCCAAGACATCCATCATAAGATAACATTACATATGTCATCCAGGCAAAAATAAATCAACAAAGAATCTTGAATATTAAGTAACACTGTAGACCTAAAAAGATCTTAACATATATCTACAGACGATTTCACTCAACAACTACAGAATACTCATTCTTCTCAGCACAAGTTTCTCCAAAACGAATCACATTTTAGTGTATAAAGCAAGTTTTTACTAGCATGAAAAATTGTCTTAACCCCGTGTGTTCTATCACATCACAACAAAATAAAACTACAAATCAACAAAAAAGAACCATAGAAAATATTCAAATGCAGTGATACTGAACAGCAGATGGTTGAGGAAAGTTTATACTTATTAGAGTTCACTTGAAAGCCTTCAGACATATCTCAGATGAATAGCTCAATAATGGACCTTAAGCTCCTACAAAAATAAAAAAAACTCCAAAGTAATAGATTGAAAGAAAGTATATTAGAGCAGAAATTAATACACAAGAGCCTAAATATGTACAGAGTTAGTGAATCCAAAATTAATTCTTTGAACAGATAAACAAGTGATACATTCTTAACCAACTGACCAAAAGAAGAAGGGAAAATTATATATTTATAACATTAGAGAGGAAAAAGGTGGTACAAATACAAAGGCCAATAAAATTGTGAAAATAATTAGAGACTTCTTTGAGAACACTTTTTTCTAACAAACTGGAAATTGATACATTTCTAAGAACATTCGATCTACCAAAATTGTGCCGAGTCCAATAGCCCTGAAAATGCAAAATTCTCAATACACACTTGAAGCCCATTTCAATTTCACATTGTAAAGATCATCTATATGGTCAAGCAAATTTCATAGTAGAGACACAAAAATGATTTGACATATACAAGTAAACATAATGTTACATCAAACAGTACTGCATACAATAAGCAACTATAGAAAGCATGCATAAAATAGGTGCAAATTAGATGCTGAAAAGACTTTGATAAAAGTTATAATGTTTTTATGGTAAAAGCTCTTATTAAATTATTATTACCTTAAAATAATATATCTCAAAATTACAAAGGCTATACAGAATAAACCCATAACATCTAAGATCACCAATAAGACTGCAGTTTCTACTCACATGACTCTTACTCATGTAGTAGGAGAAATGCTAGCAAGATCAATAATGCAAGGGAAAGAAACCAAAAGTATATATGTAGGAAATAAATAGGTTTCTGTTATTTCTGTTTGATGATCCTAAGAAAACTCTAAAGCCTCTTAGAATTGATAATCAAATTCAGGATATAAAATGTAAAAACCATAATAGGAACTGTTCTATGCCCCATTAATGACTATTTGAGAAAGAAATTAAGGAAACAGTATCATTAGCAACAACCTCAACAAAGTGGCAAATCTAACTTATGGGTGAGAATGGTGTATAATGAAAAATTTTAAATTCTGAAGAAGTTGTTGAAGATACTAAAAGAAAGACAGCTCATATACATGGATATGCATATTATGAAAAGGGCCATATTATTACAAATGATGTACATACACAGTGCAATTCCGCTCTACAAGAAATACTAAAATGCACTTTTTAGCATAAAATAATCCTCAACAAAATGAACAGTGAAAGCAATAACATTATGTCTAATTTTAAAACAAACGAAAAAGCCATCTTAATAAAATAGCATGGTATTAGTATAAAAATAACACATAAGCTGATGGAACAGAAAAAAAAGACTCAAATAAACCCATGCCTATTTAGCAATAGAGTCTCTATAAAGGTAGCAAAAAAAAACATTGGGTAAAATACAGCCATTTTGACAAACAGTTCTAGGCACATTCAGAAAGTCGAAATTAGACTCCTATCACTACCCATGATTAAAAATAACTAAAAATGTTCTAAAGACATTAATGGAACATCATAAGCTTTGAAAATACTGGAAGAAAACAGAGAAAACATACTTTAAGATATTAACATAAGCAATAATTTCCTAAGTAGGATATCAATAGTTTATAAAACCCAAACAAGCTTTAACAAGTGAAACTAAACTGAATTAAAAAGATTTTTCAAGCAAAGAAAACTATTAGCAGCATGAAGAAACAATTTACTGAATAGGAGAAAATTTTCGAAAAAATCTTCATCTGAAAATAGAGAATATATAAAGTGCTAAACACTATACACTAAAACAATATGTAATCTAGTCAACAATAGGCAAATAAGGTGAAAAAGAAAAAAAAAAACTTAAACAAATGGAAGTACAAATGGCACTAAGCCAGTCTAGGTGACATGGCAAGGTTCAACCTTGGAATCAAAGATCACTAAAGGAATCCAAGACAGCACACAGAAGATATACTTGCATATTCAAATTTAGTGGATTGCATCAAAGAATATCCTGTTAATTGAAATAGGCTATCCATAGAAAGACAGGCCTCCCCTAAGCATGGAAACATTAAAAATGACTGAAAATAAAAGAGAAACTATTAAGAAATAAGACTAGAAGTTAAGGGAAAGAAAAGAAAATGAAGAGAGAAATAATAGTTGGGCTAGATTGTCAGAATATATATTGTTTGACACAATGAAACTCATTAATTTGTTCAATTTATATTGATCAATTTTGAAAATATATCATCTAGAACTGTGTGAATAATTTGTTTGTCTTTCAGACCATTACCCAATACAAAGCATCTTCTATGAGAAGAGTAAGTTACAAATCAGTGTTAAACTTGTTTTTGTTTTTTCACAAGGTAACTCCTTCACTTCATCATAAAACTTCCTACTTAGTCAGAAAGACTATAAACTAGGGAAGTTCATTACTAAGATTTACTTAATTACCTCCCCTGCTTCATCAACTTCAGGGCATAGCAAAATGATGATATATGTTTTTTATCTACTTATAAGTGTATGAACATGAAAGGACACATGTTAATGACACTGCCTTATTAATGCTAAAGCACTAAATCATTTACACATCATTTCTTTTATACCATAAGAACAAATCTCCACACAATGAAAATAGCAAGTAATTGGGAGGGGCCACGGGAAACTCATAGATAATAATTCTGTGGTGAGACTGGAGTCTCCACTCCAGTCTCTTCAGCAGAGAAGGTGACTCTTTCATTGGTCTTTGTTTTCTTCAACAACTCCAGGAGTCACCATAATATTATTAATCAAGTCTTCCTTTACCAGCCACAGTACTTTAATGCAATTCAGAAGAAGTATGTACATACTCTCCTTATTTGTCCACTACACTCCTATCAAAGATGTTAGCAAGTGCTGAAAGATCGAGTAAAAATTATTCAACAGTCTTACACATATAAAGACCCAATTGCCAAGTTTGTAGAATGCTTGTATGCTAACTTGTACTTTGACAGGGTTCAGAAAAAGCGGAAGGAATGTGAATTGGTGCTTGTGAATGACTTCTTTTTAGTGACTTTTCTTGACTATTTCACTCAGAATGCCTGTCTACTCATATTTGAGACTTTTTATCAAGTTCACCAGTGTACAAGCATTATTATAGTGTCAGATAAACTTGGTAGGGCTCCAGGGGAAACTGCAAGGCAGATTGTGAATTTGATTTTAAAAAACGCAGGACTAGATGCCAAGATTGATTATAAATTAGGGCATGTGTTTATTGGTAACAATGTAGTATCACCCTTTCAGCAAATGATTGTAAAGATCAAGAGGCTTGCTTTTATAAGCCAGATGTTGGCCATGAAGATTGAAAAGAAACTTAATCAGAACAGTAGGTCAGAGGCTCCTAACCGGGCAACCCAAGATTTGGGTTTCTATTGAAGAATTATACATAAGGAAGAAGCATACAGGAAAGACAAAGTATTCAAATGGGCAATGCCATACATTTAGAAGAAGTCAACACACCTAGTATAAATTTTGGAAAATTTGAATAAAAATTGATGGGATTCTTAAAAAATAAAATAGCAGATAATATTTAGTAAAATTATGACTATTAAAGTCATAAACCACAAGAAATACAATTTTAAGAATCACCATTTTATAGGATCATATGCACATAGGTATAGAGCTTTTGTGATCCACACTTATGATCCTCTCCTAAGAATATTCTCCATTGGTCTCACTGTGTGAATGTTTTGAGTGCTGTTTAATTAATCTTGCCAAAGTATAATTTTTTTTTTTGTATTTTACTAATTACTCTCAGATTTCCCACAAAAGAAGTGGCTAGCAGGCAATTGTGTTGGCTATGATTCCTTATAATGCTTATGGAAGGTGAGATATGTTGATACTTTCACAATCGCAGCAACAGGATGAAGCTGAAGAAGGGTGAATGTGAAGTCAACCTGGGCGATCACATATTGAGATCCTGTGTCTCTAAAAAATAAGATTTTATGTACAAAATCACCTCTTAATGTGCTTTCCTTTATTTGTGTTTTTAATTGTTTATTTGTAGAGATAGCTCTCAGCATGTAACTCAGGTGGCCTTGAACTTGAAATCCTCATACCTCAGCCTCACCATTTCAGACCCCGCAGATTTGTGTCCCTTATCATACCCAATGACCTTGCAACAATGTTGGATCAGAAAATCTGAGGTATTACTTCTTCCCTTTGTATAAGTATTTCCCTTTCCATAAGTTAATTCATAAGCTTATCCCTACCTCAACCAATTTTTACATTTTTGTGTCACTTATTTGCAAGACAGAGACTAGCTTGCATAGCCCAAGCTACAGAAACATACTTCTTCTCAGCTACTGATTGCTGAGATTACAGACCTGGTGGGTAAATTTATTTCAAAACTCACTATATATTTTTTATTTTTTATTTTTGTGAACATACTGTACAGAGGGGTTACAATTACATGGGCAAGATAATAAGTACATTTCTTATCAAGCATTGCAGCCTCTTCCTTTGTTTACCCTTCACATCCCTTCCCAGCCTTCCCCTACCCCCCCACCAATCCTTCCCCCCCCACCACGGTTGTAAAGTTCGTTTTCCACATGACAACTTCTACTTCTCATTGTTGCAACGAGTCCACCTGTATCCTTAAACGATTTGCTTTTCCCATCTCCTCCACAAATTATACCAACATCAAATATAGTGAAAGCAGGGGTTATACTGTGGGGGAGGGACATACAAAGCAACAAAGAAATCATCTTATAAATGCATTAGAAACAATCGCATGAAAGAAAAAAACATTTAAATACATATCTTAGGGTTCATTTTCCTGACATCACCTTTTCTGACCTTTTCTGCTTGACTCAGACATATACTAACTATTGCAAATGAGGGAAACCATGAGACCTATGTTTCTTTGGGCTTGGCTTACTTCACTTAATATAATTTTTTCCAAGTCTTTCCATTTCCTAACAAATGGGGCAATGTCATTCTTTCTGATGGAGGTATAGAATTCCCTTGTGTATATATACCACATTTTCTTGATCCATTCGTCTACTGAGGGGCATCTGGGTTTGTTCCCTATCTTAGCTATGGTAAATAATGCTGCAATAAACATAGTTGCGCTGGTAGCTTTAGTATGGTCTTGTTTGTAAACATTTGGGTAAATGCCCAAAAGTGGGATTGCTGGGTCATAGGAGAGCTCTATGTGAAGTCTTTTGAGGAACCTCCACACTGCTTTCCAAAGTGGTTGAACAAGTTTACACTCCCACCAACAATGAAGTAAGGTTCCCTTCTGTCCACATCCCCTACAGCATCTGTTGTTGTTAAAGTTCTTGATTTTTGCCATTCTAATTGGGGTGAGGTGGTATATCAATGTTGTTTTGATTTGCATTTCTTTTATGACTAGGGAGGTTGAACATTTCTTCATGTGTCTATTGGCCATCCTTTTTTCTTCTTCAGAGAAGTTTCTCTTTAAGTCTTTAGCCCACTTATTTATTGGGCAGTTGTTTCTTTGAGGATTTGTTGATGGGGGATTTAATTTTTTGAGTTCCAAGTATATTTTAGATATGAAACCCTTGTCCATTGTATGGCTAGTGAAGATCTTCTCCCAGTCCGTGGTCTCCTTGGTGCAGGCCGAAATTTTCTTAATAGAGACCACGAAACACAAAAAATCAAAGAAAGGTTGGACAAATGGGATTGCATGAAGTTGCAGAGCTTCTGCAAGGCAAAGGACATAGCTAGCAAGATCAATAGAAAACTCACTATATTTTATAAGCATAGGTTATTTTTGCAGGTGGATATAAAAAGTTAGTTTTTCACAGGTTGATAAAAACACTGCTGATAATTATTTCCCAGAACAATTCAAGGCCATAAGGCTTTCAAAGTAGTGTAACAACATAATTATCACCTCAGACAACATACTCCTAAATTTCTTGGAACAGAATATCTGCAAAGAGTGAGAAAAGTTAAAGTTCAAACCTCACCTGTACCTGAGAAAAGTAGCTGACCTATTAACAGGAAAGAAGCAACATCAGTTGTTAATATTCTCTTGCCAGGAAGCGCCTCCTCCATTTTGTGGGACTTTCCTGGAATCCATGTCAAACAATATCCGTGATCTTTGACCTTTATACACAGTCCAGTTATCTATCTCAACGCACCCTCCCACAGATCCCTTTATAAAAGCCCCAGTGTTTTCTGTGCTGACAAACCATCTTCAGTTTTTGGTAGACAGGTAAGTGGGAACTGCATGAAAAGAAAAGCCTGGGTAGATTTTTTTATGGTACACATTAAGATTGTGGGAAAGGTGGTCTGCTCAGAGAACCTAAGAGATATGAGAATCATCAAAGACTGCCTTTGGAGTCTTAGATGAATAGAGAATATAGATTCTTCAATTCAATTGGAAAATACACATGGTGATGAATATGATCAAGATCAATCTATCTATAAAGGAGTAGACAAAGGACAAAAGGCTGGGATCTTTATATATTGTGTGTGTGTGTGTGTGTGTGTGTGTGTGTGTGTGTGTGTGTGTATCCAGGTCTATGTCTCTCTTTATCTCTCTCCGGTGATACCTTCAATCATGCTGATGGCTTCCTCACTCACAGACAAGATGCTGCCTCCTTCAACCTTCTCCAGCATGTCCTGGATGCTTCTGTCCTGCCTGATGCTCCTATCTCAGGTGCAAGGTGAGATTTATCTTACAGTGGATTCCCTGTGAACCGTTCACAGCCAGAATGAGGACAGTTATGTTCCCTTTCTGCCTAATTAGTAATGCTGAAGACAATCCACCCATAAGGAAAGCACCTTCAATATCTCTCCTTCATTACTTGTAGTGGGACCATAACAGCTTTCTTTCATCAGTGAAATGAAATAGTTTCTCATTTTGTCTGGTTACTCTGATTTATTGATTTTGGTGGGTTGAAGGCAGGAAAGTGTGGAAAGTCAGTGGAGAAAAAGAGAATAATTGGAGGTCCAAGGTTAAGACCTGGCATATCAAACATGATTAGATGAATAAAGATGCCGGCCACACTTAAAATAAGAATTTTCCACCCAAAGGGCAGGCCTTAAGCAGACTCTACAGTTCATTGTGCTCTCTACTCAATCCTGGGTACTCATTTCATTTCTTCCTTGTCATTATCTCTTTTCACCTCAGGTGAGGACTCCCAGAAGGATGTACCTGCTGCTCGCATCAGCTGTCCCAAAGGCGCCCAGGCCTATGCCTCTTACTGCTATGCCTTGTTTAAATCACCCAAATCCTGGACTAGTGCCGATGTGAGTGCTGAGAGGTGGGGCTGAATATGGGTACTAGGAAGAATACACAATCTTGGACTTCAACCTTCAGCTTTCCTGGGGACTCCTGTAAACATCCTTATCTGCATATCTGAGTTAATGTCTATGTCCTGAAGACATACTTACCATTTTCTGACCTTCTCAGGCTCCCTCTCTTTCTTTCCCTCCTTGACACAGTTGGCCTGCCAGAAGCGGCCCTCAGGTCACCTTGTGTCTGTGCTCAGTGGGGCTGAGGCATCCTTCGTGTCTACTCTGGTCAAGAACACAGCGACTACCTACCAATATGTCTGGATGGGGCTCCATGACCCCACACTGGTGAGATTCCATCATCTCCTCTTGGTTATTTCAAGTGGTTGTTGTGCCCCACTCTTCTTGCCTGTATTGCAAAAGCCCAGGGACTCTAAAGAAGGCAACCTGTGGTTGCCATTTGGGATCAAAAGAAACCTCTGAATCTCTCTGAAGAACAGAGTTCTGTGAAGGTGTCTAGTATTCAGAAGAAATGAATGTGCCTATAGTCAGCTTTGACACAATTTTCAGGAGGTAATGTTAATAAGCAGATGTCTGAAATTCAGGAGATCAGATCATACACATTGAGATCAGATCATACACATAAATCAGATTTATGTTTTATTGCTATAAAATAAAACACTATTTTTGAGGTTCAGAGAAAACAAAAAATGCAGTGCATGTATAAAGAGGAACCTATTATTTCAAGTGGTTTGAAGTTCTTCTCATAATTGGATGGGACCAATCAATGAGATTATGGTTGAGTATCCCACAGAGGGACAAATCAAAGTGGAGGCTTTATAGAAGGGTGAAGACATAGTTCTAAGTCAGAAGTTATGCAGGCAAAGGACCAGGGAGGCCGAGAACCAGTGACATTCCATCCTTATGGCTGCATCTTCTGAATAGGGTGAGGAACCCAATGCAGATGGCTGGGAATGGAGTAACTCTGATGTGCTGAACTATCTGAACTGGGAAAGGAACCCTTCCATTTATGCTGATCGTGGTTACTGTGGGACCCTGTCACGAAACTCAGGTAAGAAACTAAAGAGCCACCTCCAACCATTTCCCCCTCTCTCCTTTTTCCCCCCTGTGCCTGTTCCTCCTATGCTGTGGGTATGCAATGTGGGGTTGAATTCTTCCATCTCCTCTTACTCTCCTTTCTTTGAATCTCCTTTCCTATAAAATGTGATACTGAAAAAGATAAGGATGAGACCGTAAAGCCTAGGTCAGATCTAATGCTTCACTATGCCACAGAAACTCTACCTCCCCCAATGTTTACTTCATTTCTTTTCTTTCACTCAAGGATTCCTGAAGTGGAGAGACTATAACTGTGATACACAATTACCTTATGTCTGCAAATTCAAGGGCTAAGCAAATGGGAATCTGCATCCAGCATCATCAAGAAGCTCATCATAGACTAGAGAACAAGTGTGAAGACTAAGAAGGCCATGGTCTTCCCACATCTAGATCTGACTTTCCCTCTTCTCTTTTCTCTATCCAATTTACAATCCCTCTACCATTGGGGTGGACTCTGGTCAGAAAAATCCATATTAAAGACTTTTTTTTCATATTTTTGGCTTTTGTGTTCTGTTTTAGTAGTAAGACTGTGTAGGAGGGTTGAAGGTTTAGAGGAGGAAGTTCTGGGAGTTGCTTCTTCTATTCTACCCAGGCCTAAAGGAATATGCCTGAAGATGCATCCCCAGCAATGCTCACAGGGAGGGTCATATTGTCCTCAGATAAAGACAGCCCTTCCACCTACACACTGCCTACCTGTCCTACTTATGGCACAGCCATACATGTTAGGTGGTAAAACATTAATGATAGCAATATCAGGAGAAGAAAAAGAGAAATTCACAGAAGGAAAATATTGAAGGATATTGGTTATTTATTTTCTAAATATAAAGATAAATTTTATGTTTTAGATTCTATAACCTCAAGGAATACTCAATGAAATAAATAACACAAAAACAAACTTATACATATTGTATTCAACCTACAAAACACCATTGTCAAAGAGCACATCATGAACATGGTCAGAAATGAAAGGAATAGCTTTCCCACATGAAACAAAGACAATTATTAGACCCATCAGCAAATATGAGAGGAAATCAATTATTGAATATGTTGAAATGATTTTTTTTTAAAAACTAGAGACCACAACATTAGTCAAATGTGAAAGCAATACTTTCCTAACAAGCAACATCTGAGAGAATCTGTTTCCAGTAGAGCTTCCTAAAAGTAAGTTAGAAAGTTCTGAATAAAAGACTATAATGATGATCATATAACTCATATTTATGAAATAAAATCGTTAAATTATGAGAAAAGTTATGATGAAATACTTTATCACATTTTTAATTGCGTTGAAAAATATTTGCTTAAAGGAAAAAATAGTTACATTCTATTTTTTTCTTTTTTTGTGTGAAAATACCATAGAGAGGGGTTACAATTACATGGGCAATATAGTGAGTACATTTCTTATCAAGCATTGTTGCCTCCTCCTTTGTTTTCCCATACCTTCCCTTCCCCTCTCCACCCCCCACCCCCACACTCCCATACCACCACCTCCCCCCACTCCTACTACCCCACCCCGCCAAAGTTCATTACTTTGACATAACATCTGTATATCTCATTGTTGCAATGGGTCCACCTGTAACACAGTCTTTTGGATGTTTATTCAAGTTTAAATGTAGAAGCACCATTATAAAGCAAAATACAATAGTAAGGCAAAATTAAATAATAGACTTCACCTTGTGACAGAGAATCTTAGATTTTAGTACTTCTTGAAGGATTGACACAAGTGACTCCATTTTTTTTGTACTTTTGAGACAAGGTTCCATTATGTAGTCAAAGTTGGACTGGAATTTCCCATGAAGCCTAGTGTGACCTCAATCTCACAATCTTTTGATCACTGCTGGTATTCTAGACACTTCTAACGTATATGTCAGGACACCATTTTTATTCTGACAATTTCCCCATTATTGCTAAATGATTTTATATAAAGATATAACAACAATTTACCCTTTGAGTATTTGTCTTTCTTCACCTGAATTCTTAATATACCCAATTTTATATCCTATTATTTTTGGTCAGTCATAGAACCTGAACTCTGGACCTGGGTGCTGTCTCTCAGCTCTTCAGCTATCTCTCAGCAATTCAGCTCAAGGCTAGTGCTCTACCACTTGAGCCACAGTGCCACTTTTGGCTTTTTCTGCTTATGTAGTGCTGAGGAACTGAACTAGGGCCTCTTGCATGCAAGGCAAGCACTCTACCACTGAGCCACCTTCCCAGCCCTCTAATTTATTTTAAACTTAAACTACAAGGTAAAAATAAATACCTACATGCCTATACAAATAATTTTTCCAAGTTGATCAAAATATCTCTAATAATATTTTATTACTTAACAAAACAAGGAATAACACTTATCAGACTAGAATAAGAGTTTAATTTTTACCAAGAGGTGGTCTGTATACTCCTAAAAGAGAATGTCGGGAAGTTTCAGGCTTTAGCTGTGTGTGGGGAAATCTCTGACCTTAGAGCAGCAGCAAACAGACAGCATCTGGACTATTCCCAGACTTTGCCCACAAGAGTCTTGTATTCTTGGTAGACAACTTCTGGAAAGCATGTCAAATACTAGTTACGGTCTATCATTCACCTGCATATGCATCCCAATTATTTCAAAAATCCATATAGGACTAGACACAGGATAAGGTGTCACTGTAGGTTCCCTCTATGGCCTGCTGGCATAAGTGACACTCATTGCCTCCTTGATTACAGGCAAGATGCTGCCTCCTATGGCCCTCCGCAGAATGTCCTGAATGCTGCTGCCCTGCCTGATGCCCCTGTCTTAGGCAGAAGATGAGATTTCTCTGCATCTCACACTGAGTGCTGTGTGAATGTTCATGTGAACACTCATCAGTATCATGTGGTAATGTTGAGACTCTCACAGCAGGAAATGACCTGCAATTCCTCCCTCTTCCAGCCTTCCTTCTAATCAATCATCTTAATTCAACATCTTGCCAGGAAGTTCTAATTTCCATTAATCATTGGAAAGAGAAAAGTGTGAAAAATCAGTAATGAACTACAGGGAAGGAGAAATAGAAGGACTCCATATAAAAAACTGTAAGACCAGAGTAGGGGAGTAATGGAATGAAGAAAAAAGTAAAATGAAGGAATGAAGGAAAAAAGCAAAAATGAAATATCCCTCTACATAATGTGGAATAAAAAAAATAAGTAGAAACCTGAAAGCACAGGAAAATGTAAGAGTGGGTGTGAATATTGACTCTAATACAAAAGATAAGCCTCACAAACATTGTGTGTACTTGGTGTACCCAAGTATACCACTTTATTGGAGACCCTATTCATTTCATCTAATCCCTCTCTTCATCTTCCCCCACTGCAGATGAAGACTCTGTGACGGATCTGCCTGTTGTGCATATCAATTTTCCCCAAAGTTCCCAGGCCTTTAAGTTCTATTGTTTTGCATTATTTTGAACACCAAAATTCTGGATAGATGCAGATGTGAGTGCTGCGAGTCATAGGAGTAGAGAGGTGAGGACTCCATATCTTTCACACAGTATCACTCCTCCCCTTCCTTCCTCAGTGGTGCCACTGGTTACTTCTAATTCTGACCCTCCCTCACATGCTTCCCCTGCCAGCAATGTCTGTGCTCAATGGAGCTGTTATCTCTCAAGTGGTTACTGTGGCCCATGCCCACTCTCCTGTTTTTCTTTTTTTTTCCTCCAGGAAAAACTCCAGGAAATGTGAGGCTGAGATAGCAGGTGACATTTGAAGCAAAGCGAATTTCTTGAGGCCACCTAAAAATCTGAGTTCTGTGAAGACCAGATGCCAAGGTGTCATTAAAGTTAATGTGCATTAAATGAATGAGAATTTTACTCAGTTCTCACTTGAGTCTGATAGATAAGCTTCTGAGGGTCTGTGCACTCTATTCTGAGAAAAATCCTAAATCAAAAGTCTATGTTTATCTCTTATATATCTAAGATTTTCTTAGATATTCAGATACACTTATTGCTTATCAAATACTATGTTTGAGTGGTTGCCAGATTCTTGTGATAATTGTGTAGCACTTGATAATAGGTATTCGGCAGCATGCAAGATGTGTAGAACAAATTGTATATGGTTAGCTGGGGCAGGGAGAATTATGTGCTCTACCTAAGAGATTATGTAAGTAGAACTTTAATGACCATTCTCTTCCCATAGCAGCATCCTCTACTCAGTATGGTAAAGAGCTCAATGGATAGGAGTGGAGTAATTCTGATATGCTCAATTACTCTAACTGGGATAGAAATCCTTTCAGTGCCTCAGATTGTGGTTATTGTGGTAGTGTGTCACAAGAAACAAACAGAGAACTTACTTCTGACCAGCCTTTTCTACTCCCTCACCCCTACTTCCTGAGGCTGAGCCACTGGGATTTCTGCTAGGGTAGGAAAATCCAATGAGGTTGGTCTCTATCAACTTCTCTAAAGTGTCATTTCTTTGGATCTCTTGGAACAGGACACCAAGGAGATGAAAGAGGTGCTTTATAGATCAGAATGTTAAGATGTCTCCCTTTTTATATTATAATGGTTACCAATGCCTTTCATTTAACTGCTTCTTTTCTCTCAGAATTTTTGAGGTGGAGAGATGATAGCTGTGATGTACAATTGCCCTAAGAGATTTCAATACATTTGTGTAGCAAGAAATAAGAATAGATATATGGCCAGGCCCTGATGGTTCATGCTACTCAAGAGGCTGAAACCTGAGGATCACAGTTTGAAGCTAGCCCAGGAAAAAAAAAAAGTCCTTGAGATGTTTATCTCCAATTAACCACACACACACACACACACACACACACACACACACACACAAAGCCTAAAGTGGAGCTGTGGCTCAAGTGGTAGTGCACTAGTCTTGAGCACAAAAGCTCAGGGATAGTGCCCAGGCCCAGAATTCAAGCCTCAGAACCACAATAAAATAAAAATAAATAGAAAATAAATACAAAGACAAGAAAGAGAAAAAGAAGGAATTGATGTATGGAAGACAGCAGAAAGGATAGTTTCCCATTATGTATTTTACCCCTTCTCTAAACTCAGGAAGCACAAAGTAGAGGAAAAATACCCTGCTCTTGGTAGAAAGAGAGTGAAATGACATCCCAGAAACAGGTTTCCTCCAGCTAAACTCAAACCCTGATAGTCCCTGTATTTCAGAACCCGTGATGTAAGTCCTAAGATCCATACTGGTGCTACAAGAATTCTCATGGCTCCATGTTCAAAATCCCTACAGATTTTGTCTCTAAGCCCATCTCACCTTCTGGCTGAAGTCTTACACACTAAGCTTCCTCATGTAGAGCCAGTTTCTGGCTACTTGAAGCTTTAGCATAATTGGCCTTGCAGAGAAAAACTTCTAGGCACACCAGTGCTGCCTCTATGACCACAGACATCAGGCCACATCTGTGGACCTGTCCAGAAGTCCAAGCTTTATATATGGACAGTCTTTCAGTCTGTCTAGTGCTTGCTTAGGCACTATAACTTCCTGGCCTCTGGCTGGCCCCATGTGCTAGCAGACTGAGGGTCA